GCATCACCTAAAAAGGTTACTACTTTTGTGCACAAGCCAACGTCAAGTTGAATTTTAGGGTGACATTTTCATCAGATTGACGGTGTTGGTATAAGAAGTCCCTAAGATCCCCTTTTAGCAGAAACGTTCATTTCGCATGAGAAAACCTAACTGAGGACTGAATTGGGAAAAGCTAATTTTTATAGAAGATATTTCGATCATGTCTTTACTCGACTTAGTAATTCAGGTCACTCTGATTCAATTCTAAGTTGATAGAAGAAAATATATAACTGCATAACCTTGACACATATAGCAGAGGAAGATGATTGGTTATTTTACTTAGACATACTAATTAGTCTGCAGTGAGATGGATCTATAAAACGGTCTATCATTAGAAGATCTATATGGACACGATGGTATTTAAATTATCATAGCTTTGGTTTAATTGAGTGAAAGCGAGCATTAGTAAGATGCCTACTTAATAGAACTGAAACAAAAAATAACTATCTACCAAGATTTATTAGTCGATATAAAGTGGCTATAGAACCAAAACCTACGTTAAACTCTTTCCGGAAAAAACGCTTATATTAAGCTTTCGTACAGAGATGACTATTGTGGTGTGATTCTTAAGCAGAGGTTCAGTACCACCAATCGAAGGCCACACAATGCATTTAGGTACAAGTTAACGGAAACCACTAAACCTATTTACCCCCCCTAAGCCTTTACTACACATGTGCGATAATGTCAATCCAAATGTATCTAACAACTTGGATGTGCATGCAGTGACATGTACACACAGAGGATTCTCAAATCCATCCAAGTAAAAGCCTCCTTCCATATTCCAGAGTAGCGTAAGAAGCTAAACTGAAACTATGAACCTTGATAACAGTTGTCCTTGCCCTTTGAGTGCAGAACATATCATTGATAAAGGTTAAAGAATTGATGCTTTTGTCTTCTTTAAACCTTTTAAAAAATGTGTTGGGAACGGATCCTGAAATGTATCACGGCCTCAGCTGCTAAGAAGTTTAAGCCACCTTGGTGTGTTTAGAAACAATTTGTAATCACTTAAAATCTAGCTCGATGAGTCCAACTGTGATATCACAGACAATATTTTATTATTTTCTAGCAACTGATTTTAATTTTTATCTTGAATTTATCTTTCCTACTTGACCTCTCTTCATATTTTCACTAATTGTCTCTTTATAACCTTTCATACATATAAATACCTATGGCAAGTACGTGTGTGGTCAGATTGTTCTAAATATGTTCTACAAATACATTACACGATTCTGACAAACTGAGTCTTATTTTTTTTCGAAGATCAAAAGGAGGACTAGTTGTTTTTCAAGCACAATCGCAGTTCAAGAATTTAATATGTGGAACATTATCATAAGACTACTTACCATTTTAATCCCGCTAACCATGTAGATGAAGATGCATACAAGTAATTGTGTATACGTTTAAAGTTATTTTACCCTGAAATTATAATGTTCCAAAATGTGAACGCGGTAAAATTTCTATTCTTGTTTCCTATTTAATCTGGTATATTTAAAGCTGTTGACAGTGTTACAGATTAAAATCGAAATTAAAGATTCATGATATTCTATGGCATCCTAGTATTATGGGAAGACAGATTTCTGTAAATGGTAGGATTCAATAGTTAATGTGGACTTCGAAAATTAAATTTTTATCTCGCTCTACGATAGCGTTTCTGCGATTTATGTTGAATACAGAAACTCATCCAGCAAGAAGACAGTATTTAGATTATACCGTCTGCAGTCTATGTGAATATTGCTCTGAGTATATCCTGTTTACAAAAAATATTCCTATTTTTCATTCGGTCGTCCTTAACGGTGATATGATAATGTAAAATGTGGCAATTGAAATCCATCACACAGTTTTTGCGGTTCTCACGTTCACCCTGACTGACTCAAATGGAAAGTTCATCACCAGTGCAACTCCATCAGATAAACTAATTAAGCGATATATGTAACTGGAGAAATTCATTTTTCATTAATTTTTGGATTTCTAAAGTAAACCTCGAGAATATAAAGAAATTTTTACTAACTTATATAGCCCGAAAGAAGATTGAGATAATTTGAGTATGATTTTTAACGTTATTTATTGTTACATTTAGTTTGCCTTGTGATTAGATAATTCATTGTTTATATATTAGAAGTCAGTAGAATCAACCTGATAAAGTGAAATATCTAGCTGTTCTGAATAGATTTGGACAGTTATGTAAACAACGTTGAACGTCTACATAATTCAGTGCTTTCTTCTTCACTGCAGGTAACAAGTACAAGTAGTTATAGGATGTTCAGGCAGTAAGAAGTAAACAGTAACCATTTTCCATATCATATGATTATCTTTAAGGATTTTCTCATGGGTTTTGTCATCAGTGATATCTAGCAAGTCCAGGAACAAAGATAAGTAATTTAAACTTTTTCACACACCTTTTACGGGAAGTAATTTGATTGCATCGATACTATTTATGAATACGACCATCCTTAGCTCGTTTCAGCTAGAGACATAGGTATACAAATATTATTATTTATTAGTCTAAGTTAGCATATCAGCAAACTGAGAAGAATAGCATACGTAAGCAATTTTTAGAACACCTATTTTGCAATTTATGAAAATTCTTTAAATTCTTAAGTACCAATGGTCATACTTTATGGCCACTGTCAGACGCCAGAGTGCATTGCAAGTGCTGTAACCTTTAAGTATCGTGAATAGTGTAGGCCGAAAACTGCTAAATGAAAATCTTATACCTATACTGAATTTCCATCAAATTTATACAATCAACTTAATTTATACTGTAAATAACAGATATTTGTGAAATACTACTAAGGCAATGAACCTTGCTACTCAGTGACTAAAACTATATCTCTTAAAATAAGTATGAAAGCTCTTAGAGATTAATACTGTAGCGGTCGAGTCGTTAAAATATAGAGAAAGCATACTTGCAAATAATAGCAAGATATTATTTACAACTAACGCAAGGCAAACATTGAGGATGGTTGGTGGTTAAGAAAAATAAAAACTGATGTCTTTTAGCGGTTGTCACTTTAAATCATGTCGTATAGTGCGTGTTTAAGAAACGAGGTTCTAGAGTTAAAATTATTTTAGGTTGAATCCACCTCACCATGTTTACGTATGTTATTAACAGTAATCTGTATTCTTTAAGAAAAAATGTGGTTCTTCATCCTGGTATATTTGCAATTTCACTTTAATTGCACAAAGCAGGACAAAAATCTGATTATATACACTGCCACTAATTGCCGAATACGATAATGTTGTCAACACACAACTAATATGGAGATTTCTGGGCACACAGTTCAATCGAATAAGCGCTGATATCTGTTATGAACAATAACTCAAGTCGATTAATTAGAATTATCTATTATCCGGTCATCAACAACAAATAAACATCTGAACAAGTTAGAAATGACACATCCTTACTGAAAATTTAGCTTTACAGAATTTTTATGATGCTTTTATTGATATGAAACCCCTGTTGTTTATATTATCTGTAGACCGAATATTCACTACATTTTCTCTGAATGTGGATAGCATTATTGTTTACTGTAATAATGAACTGTCAGTTACAGTAGAATTTTCGGATGATTGTTTATCATAGTGGATTTTTTGCAAAAAGTGAGATTTTACAGCAGGTGTAATGTGGACAAGAGAAGTCAATCACTCTACTTAGTAAATCTTATTTCCAAGATGGCCGTGAAAAGTTGTCTATCAAAATGTTAATAACATTTATTGCCTAAAAGTACTAACAGTTGGATTCGAATCCAGTTCCTTCTCTCCTGAAGTTTGATCACTATTTCACGGAACCACAAACTCTGAATTTCAGTATAGCTGTAACGTATTCTAACTAATGGAATGTAGGTGATACGACTCAAGGGTAATAAGCGCTAGTTTTGGTAAGAGCGAACTCATTCACTGCTTACTTCTGTAATTAGGTATATATTGGTAATTTAACTTTCGTCTGGAACCGACTACATGATTAAGAAATGAAAACCATAGAAATCTTAAGCGTGAATGGGTGAACAGTTGTATCAAATGGATATGCCAATTAGTCAACCCACTTAATTCTATTTACATATTTAAAAGTACATCAAGGAATAGAAATGGTTCAGTGATGAAATTAACTTGTGTGGTTATCACTGCATACTTTACGAAATAAAAAAACTCTGGGTGTTTGGTAATTATTGGTTAACGTATACATACAAATTAAAATTTAGTATATTTGAATAATCTGTTGTCCTCCGAGCTTTGAGGATTGTTCTCGGATGTTTCACCACCGGATGATGATGAAGCTGCCTATTCAACTGACAGGACGTTATCAAAGTTTGAAAGCAACTAAACAATTGTCATTCTTGACTGCGGTATATCTTATCAACTGTGATGTTAAAAGAGCAATACTACTGCATATGGAGGGGAAGTAAGATCGTCTGTTGCTTATGAAAACTTCTGAACTGATTTCGAATTATGCTGATTGACTGACTCCTTGAATTCGATGATAGGGTCACACTTAATTGACTCTGTTTACTTTTCGGAACAGTGAACTGCAGAAGAAACTAGATGAGCAATTTGAAAATTATTTGCAAAATACGGGGTCCGCGTTCAAATTTATCCCAGACGAGTGGTTTTTCAACTGCATAATTGTGGTATCAACGAAGTCTTCATTGAGAACTATCCTGTGAAGTTCAAAAACTCCAATCTCTCATAGAAATATGTCATAAAAGCGTGAAAACAGACATCAACTATTGAGTTCGTTCTGATCTGACTAGCGAATTCTTCTGATAAGTACGAAAGGTTTCTTGTTACCTTTTTTGAGTGGTGTATTTTAAAGAAAAGTTTTTAAAATGACCAAGCGTTCCACTAGCTAATTTTTGTGTCTTAGACAAGCCTTATTACATTAACCCTTTTAACGTATAAAAAATGTAATTATTTTGGTTGATTGAATTAAGTACGACAAACTAAATATATTAAATGTTTTGAAGGTATATGCGCAAAGTTCCAGAATTTAGTGTGAAAGGTCAACTGAATAACCCGGAGGTGAAAATAACCAGTGACGAACTAATGTCACAGATATTTCAAGCGAAAAATAAAAGAAAGGATCCTCCTAAGGTAGGTTCACCTCATAATATTGAATCCATATATATTTATGAAACAAGTGAATAGTTACATTCATAGGCTAAAGTATTGTTTACATTTAGTTCGCCCCTTATATCATGAAACGGTTAAACAGATGGCTTCTGAACATGGGATTTGTATATTACTTACCTTTTTCCTCAGCAAGTGGACACTGAAGAATTTAGTTTGAGATAATTTACTGTTCACCCCAGGCCACATTTTTTTGCATCGGCATATAGGACCTCATTTTCTGACATTTATAGGCTATCTGAATCTCCTGAGTTCGTGTAGGACTTCAAACAATCATTAATTTTGCTCATATCAGTGTGAAGGGCATGTCGTGAAGGTGCTCATTTTCAAACTATGACAGTTTGTTAACATCAGAGTAAAGCTTAGGGACTGTGGTAGATTGTAGTTCCATTTTAGTCTGTTTATTAAAAATGTCACATAGTATCGTTTTTACTGGATAACGTTTCAGACACAGTTTATTGTCCATATTCACAACTTTGAGACAGAGTTTATATGTTCCTAGTTTTCTCTCCTTCTTTTTGACGACAAGGGTAGTAGAATTCTCCACATATCTCGGACAGGTGCAGAATCATTTCGATTGAATGTATTTGGTACTGATTCAATAAACAAACATTGAATTATCAGTCTCTCTCTACACCCGACTAAGTTAGTTAGATAGTTAGCTAGAAACTGTATCGAAGAAATCAAATGTAAGCTGATACAACAGTTAGTGAAAACGAGTTATGGGCTTCTGATGAACAACTGCAATAAATCAGGATCAGGCACACTGAAGAAATCCAAAAACACTCATATTAAGAAGGTCGACAGACTTATGGAAGAAAAGCCTGCAGTCAACAATAATGAAATTAACAATAGTACGTCACCAGTGATCGATAAGTCAAAGTGGGTTATTAATCTTTCAGCTAGAGTCCTAAGCTCAACAGAGGTGGGTCTTGACTTCAGTGTAGCGGTTTATGATTTGAGATCAGAAGATGTCATTCCTAAAAACACATAGCGTTCAGTTTAATAGATAAGACAATTGCAGATGAGGTAAGAGCACAATGTGTGCTCTAACACTGAAACAACGGAAGAAAATGAAATCTAAGCCAGAAATAGATGCTCTCAGGAACCTTCAGAATGATAGCAATATAGTAATTGCCAAATCAGATAAAGGCAACTCAGCGGTTGTAATGAACAAAACTGACTACATCTAAAAAGTAAATGAGCATATAGAAACAGGACCATATGAGGAAATCAAGAAATCAGTGGATACTATTATGAATAAGGTTAAGAAATCGACAAGGGATCTGATACACCGGATGAAGCCGTTTCTAAGTGAGTCAAAATGGTCCCAGTAGAATGTATGGTACTGTTAGGATTCATGAACCAGGTTATCCCATCAAGTGTATAGTAGATTTTAGAAACATTCCAACTTACGAGTTGTCTAAATACTTAGCAACAGTTGTTAGGCCCAATAAGAAATTACTCCAAATCTCTTATGACTTAAAGCATAGATTAGATGACATACATTTATATGACGATGAAAAATAGTTTTGACATAGCTAGCCTTTACACAAATATACCGATCGACATGGCTCTAGAAGCAGTTAGAAATGGGTTTAAGGATGACAGTGAGTTTACACATCGAACTAAGGGGGAGATCGAGGAAATCATGCTAGGAGTTCGACTGTGTCTAAAATATCTACAGTTTTTAGGTTTAAAAATAAAATACGTAAACAAACCGAAGGTATTGCCATGAGATCACCAATATCCCCTGTCGTCACAGACATATTTATGGATAAGAAGTTTAGAGAAAACCTCTGATATGGCTCAGCAGGCAATTACACACAATCTTACAGTAGGGTGGGATAAAACGACTGCCTTGAAAACTAACCTAGCCGGGTGTAGAGAGAGACTGATAATTCAATGTTTGTTTATTGAATCAGTACCAAATACATTCAATCGAAATGATTCTGCACCTGTCCGAGATATGTGGAGAATTCTACTACCCTTGTCGTCAAAAAGAAGGAGAGAAAACTAGGAACATATAAACTCTGTCTCAAAGTTGTGAATATGGACAATAAATTGTGTCTGAAACGTTATCCAGTAAAAACGATACTATGTGACATTTCTAATAAACAAACTAAAACCGTATGACAGTTTGTCTTCAGCATATGATGTCTTAATTCAATTCCGTTTTAAAGCGAATAAAATCATTAATGTTTTGTTACCTTTTGTTTACTTTATTGTACTGAAAAGAACTCTTTGCCTCATTTTTTTGTTTAGCAACCTTTAATTAACGCCTACGGGTAGACTTGTATTTTGTGTCGATATCTTTTCATAACATTGCATTTCACTATGATTCTACTTGAGCTCTCATGTAGCATGTTATTCTTTAAACTTATAGCATAAGATGACAATAAATTAATCGCATTAGCACTGATGATCAAAATTATGATAAGATCTTATTTCCTTATTCTAAGTGTTAAGAGGTGAAAAAAGTAAGTCTTTCTCTGTTAGCAGTATTCTTACCGAATCGTGTAGATGTGACTCTATGATTAGAAATACTTAATCTTATTCTGGTGAACAGCTGACGATTGAGATCCGCAAAAGTAGTCAAGAATTGGAAACACATACTTACTGTTCATAAATATGTAATCGTTGACCATAAGCAGCTACTTTTCATGGTTATTTTTCATAATCACCACCACCTTCAGAAACTCATTAAAAATATTCGAATTGCGGAAGTAGGTAATATAGGTTGAGGTTTTCAGGAAAACCTGTAACCGTCACTTTAAAAATGTTTTTTTGCCAACTGCTTCTACTTACATTTAAAAATATTATTCAACAAGGGGGATTCGTTTGAGTGACTAATAAAGTCCTCCTGGCTGTTCATCACTGTTTCACTTAGATTTCCACTTAGATTTCCTTCGTAATATGAAATTTATTCATCAGGACTGATGATTCTATTATTTTTAACTGAAGAAACTGTTAGATTTTCAATTTTGACAGGAATAACCTTTAGAAACACCATCAGTTCGACAAAATTGATTAAATCTTAGTCACAGTGATAAAACAAGAAGCACTTTCGCACGTGACAGTCGCAAGTGACTGCATTGTGCACTTTCAATTTGGGTCATGGTAAATTATCCTTATAAAATGACTTAAGTACTAGTTTCATATCACTTGGAAATTCCAAGTTCCAATGGTTTTCTTCATTGAAAATTCCGGCATCACAAGGTTTTAGTTTATCTTCCAACCATGTTTCGAACAGACGTATGTAACTGTCGAAGTAACCGAGAATAGACAATTTATCGTCAGACAAACTGATTGCGTCTGTGAGTCTAGTGCAAATGGCTGACCCATCATACGCATAGACGAGCGAAATCTTTTACCGGAGGCTTGAAAAGTTGCCTTTTTATACACAGTAATGGAATCGACTACCATCTGTGAAACAACGGTACCAGACTCTACCGCAGTTCACTTCGGCGTTGGATCAATAAAACGGGTTTGTAAATTAAACTTAAGGAAATCCTGTAAGATGGAAAACTTGCCAACAAAGCAGTCAGGAATACTATTGGACGAAAAAGTTCAGCATTGGCGACGCTTGTACAACGCATTTTGCTGAGGATTGAATACAAACAAGTTAGCTTGTTGGTTAGGATGAATATTCCCGAAGCAAATTGGCTGCTTGGGGCATTGAAAATTCTAGCTAACTATATACCTCCCTTTCTGTACTCAGCTGGGCTTGTTTTTGGTCGCTGTAATTAAAACTCTTTCTGTAAATGACTGTGCAAAATAAAACGAAAACCACCTTCGTATAAACAAACTCCCGAAAAATAAGTAGTTATCGCTGCATCTTGAAAAACTTTATTTGGAATCACTAACGGTATTTTGTAATGGAAAAATGTTTATTCGATGCTATAATCATGAAATGTTTGTTACTCAGGATCACACTGGTGTCAAAAATGCAGATGTGATTAGAACAGATAATAGTATTAGTCTTTGAAGTTACTTATTGGTGTTTCATATCATATAAATACAATATGTGAAACCAAGATGCTGGAGATACATGCAATGAATTTTTCGAAACTCCCTATGAGCTGCATCAAAGTCGGTCTGAGTATCACAGATATATTTAATCTTTGCTATCAAAGTTCCCAAGACTTTTTCACCCCTAATATTCTATCAGATTCTTTTAGATGCTGAATTATATGTATACCATTGAACGTTTGCAAAGTAATCCACATTGTTTGGTTGTATCTGTTTGCCTGATATCGCTTTATTATTTCTCGCAATTTTTTATTTCACTACTACAGGAATTGCTTCGATCACTTTCTATTTTGCATCAGCATTTTTATTTAGTTTTCCAATTTTTTAGTTCGTATAAAAACATTTGCTGTTTTCCAAATAATATAGGCCTCTTTTGAAGTACGATCCTTCAATTGTATTACCAACTCCGTCACTTGACTTGGTAATTAACTGTTATCTAATCGTGAAAACAATTTTCAGATGCACCTTAGAGCACTGTTAACAGAAGTTATACTGTCCTTTTTACTGATATCAAATTTATTTACCTAGTGTAACTAATTAGTTAGATGCTGTCATTTGAAACTACTTCTGTACTGCTTACACTCAAAGCATTCAAGACATAAGTTGTACTACCACTGGTGATGTAATGATGCACAAAGGTCAAAAAGTCTGTGAATTTTGTTTATTATATTTAACTAAATTAGTCTTATTTTCATACAGCGTATCGGAGATGTACCTGACTAGACAGGTTATTCAATCAAACGGTTTTAAGAAATGGTATTCAAATTTACCTAAAAGAGAAAATCCTCACCATCATAGTGAGTACACGATTAGTTTTTTATAATCTTCATCTTATATAGCTCATCTAAAGTACTTGCTTTCATTTTATTGGTTAAACGTTGTTTTGATTGTCGGTGGCTTTACATAGTCCTTTATTTCAGTTATCGGAGACTCACAAAAAATTTCTGTACCCTCTTTATAATGTATTGTCACTAGTGTAATTTTTCTAACCGCAGGTGTTCATGAATAATGATATTTCGTCATCTGACCGAAAAGCCAATCAGAATAAGCGAAATGGTGAAAATTTACATGTTAGAGAATCAAGTGGCATGCATCCTCAATTTCTTTCCACCGACCTGGATTTACCTAAAATGGAACTATATATTTCTGAATCTAAACCATCGGAACCCTATAGTCAAGGTGAACATCGACCAGAAGGTGTAACTTCTGATGCTCTATCAGACCAAATTGTAGTTCAAGGGTGTTTCATGGATGACGAAGATTGCGATTTACATTTTTCTGATACTCATATAGATGATCAAAACAATAATGAGCAATACAATTTGTCCAGTGGGAATGCGTCCCATAACTACTTGCTTCAATCAAAGGAAAATGCACAAGGTACTATTTTGATAGTTGAAGGACTGATAAATTTAAGAACATTTCTTTTATTTCCATCAAAAACTGGTTTACAGTTTTTCAGTTAAGAAAACTTGCTTATCAAACTTATCTGTTCTTAGACATAATAATATACGATTTTATGGACTTATGTTACAATATAGGTCCGGTGATTGAAGATACTAAAGCAGTAGAGACCAAAAAGATATGTACATTTTTATTGAAGTACATCAAAGTTATTGGTGAACTCACACTGTAACATATGAGCTTTATTCTACTGTTCTGTGATAATGTGAGTATCGGTTCACTGATTTTATCCCCAATGTTCCCAGTATTATTAAGCCTATGATGTATTGAAAAAAGAGTGTTATTCACTCTTTAAAAAAGTTTCCTTACTTTGTACAAACGTGAACTGAAAAATAACGCACCGTGATAGTTTTCTTAAGTGTGTCCAAATGTGTGATAACTATATGAGTTCAGCAAGAATGAAGGAAACGTCAATATAAATGTAACTTACTTATCAAAAGAAAACTGATGAGACAATGACATTTTGGATATGACGACTATCAGAGACAAATAGGTCATCCTAGTAATATTTTTCTACATTATTTACAGAAAACTCTTGAGCACATGTTCTCGTTTACTCAATTTTAAAAGTTTAAATCTAGTAGTAGAAATTCTTATGTGGAGTGATTCATCCTCAGTCAGTATGAATCAATATGGAACTGGCAATTATATGTAACAGATCCTATTGACACGCTAACTGAACCACTAAAAGTGATGCAATGTCTATATATATATATGTATATATATATATATATATATATATATATATATGTTCACAGGAAATATCAGTTTACGTTAGACATCGTAATTATTGACTATACTTGTAGATGACTGGCAGCATGGAAACAACTTGACAGAACCTACGCAAGAAAATGGTACGAATGTAAAGCGTCTCGTGAACTCTACAGAGCTTAATAACGCAACAACTTTTCAACTACCAGAAAGTACGGCTTCGAACAATGAAAAATCTTTCTTTGTGATTAATTTTGTCTGCATTTTCTTGTCGATAGCATTTCGAATGAATATTAAACTTTGAATTTTGTTGAGATTTATAACACATTTTATTAAAGACATACTAATTTATGTCAACACATAATTAAACGTCACCTTCTGTCCGTATACATTTCATCCTACTTACGTTTCTGTTGAAAAGTTTGTTGGTTAGTTTCCAAAACAAAAAGATGTTTTCTATCCTTCACACTTCTGCATATTATGTTGTTAAATACTTGTGCAATGGGAGGCACTAATTTATTTTCGGTCTCTGCCTAGCCCACTTGAAATGTAGAGGTTCAGTAACCCCAACCGTTTTGATGTTCCTTTCTTTGCTTAAATGCGTATTTATATAATCCTCTTATCTCCTGCGTGATTTTGTCGCGACTTCATTTTTCACATAGTACTTACATACTATACGAAGCAAATGTGGTTAGATATCATCATTGGCGGACATTTCAAAATTTTGCATATCCAAGTTCTTTTAGTTACGCTCAGATTTTGTTTTTATTATCCTATTTCATAATATCAAAGGGAAATATTACTTGTCTTCAGGGAAACAGTATGAAGGTAGATGTGATGATGAAGCAGTCTAAGATAAGTCTAGAAGCTTCACATCAATAAAATTCAGTTGAAAGATCACCGAAACAGGCAACTTATTCTCATGAGGTAAGAATATTCTCGACCACTTGAAATTCTGACTAATTAAAATACAATTGTATTGTCGTAGACCAAAATAATCAACCTTAATGATAGACATAATATTGTAATAAACTACACAAAAGTCTACCTGTTAACTTGTTACTTCTCAGAAAAACAAAATTTACAGGAATAACAAATAACCAACAATAAGACCACATTCCTTCCTTTGATATGGTTCGTCGATGAAAATCTAGGCCCTATTATTTGAATTTCAAGTGATGAAAATACCTGAAAGTGTAAGTGAGAAATATTACATCAAATTTCAATAAATAGTGAAAAGCAGCTGGCATCTTTGACTGCATTATGAAGTGTAATTAGCTTCATCGTGCTAACAAGCATATATGAAATTACACTTTCGGAAGGCAAAAGTTTTTATTCGCAGAAGGCATCAAAAAAGGTGAATATAGTGATCAATTTCTTATATAATAAGAGTGACAGTTTTCAAAACCATGGTCTATTACCACAATTCGATTACCATCACTACACATAATATTTGCGTTTGTAAAGGTAGGCATCCTTGGTTTTTGGGAAATCGAATAGTTTGTTGCGCATTTAAAAAACCACACAAAGTTTCCACGGAAATGAACAATTCATGTTAAAATAATAAGTGGAATGCTAATGGGTAAAACAGCACAAAACGATTCAACTGATTTGTCTGAATAATGTATCCGTGAATACAGAGTAATTGAAGTAAAAATATAACCATCACATAGATAAATTGTCACAAAATATACATATTTTTGTTAGAAAAATGCCCATTTCTAATTGGAGACAATTAAGAAGAACAAGGTTTATAGTTTCTGTTTGATCTGCACTAGATACCTCAACATCATTTTACAATAGCCGGTGGAAACTTAGTTTACTTTCATAAATATGGGAAGGTTTTCTGCCAACACATATGTATTATTTATGTACTCTCTGGACGCTTTGCTTTCGGAATATTGAGTAACCAACCTGAAAGTTTACTAGTAGTTACGCCAATAAAATTATTAAATTATGACCTGCCAATTGTTGTAAATAATAAACCTAACGTTACTTTGTATAAAATAAATTATATGTATAACTACCACTCAATCAAAGAAAACGCTGAGTAACATTTTGTGCTGTTATAAAGACTTATTCCTTTGACCATCATATATATATATTTTTTTTTTCTGAGAAAATTTCTTTTACCCTAAATGACTTCTTGTAACCCACAAATGCGTTTGAAATGTTAAAATGAGACTTGGTCACTATGGTAGATTAAAATCCTATATTTGATAAAGTGATACAGTGCGTTTTGCATGTATTCGTGACATACGACAATACAGAAAGTTAGACCAAAGCATTTTGCGAAGTTTGATCATAATATGGTGGTTCATGACTAGACTTCATAGTCTAAAAAGAAGAATTGCTACAAATTTGCCCTCAGAAACCTCAACTTAAAATAATCATTTTGATAAAAAGCAGCAATCTGAACGAAGAGTATTCTTTTCAATAAATTATCTTAAGGTTCTACAATGATAAAATTCATTTGTACAGCGTGAACTCAAGCCAAGTTAGGGGCAATTACATTTTCAAAATGCAATGTAATTATGGGATCGCACGGAAAACGACTTAACTTTTTTAAATTAGTCAATATTGAGGTGATACATATGCAGATGAATAATATGATAGTGAACAAAAAGATAACGAATAAAAAAGCAGGAGTGGCCATTAGTTTACTGAAGACCAAGGGAGAAGTAACGCTGGGACATGTTCTTTCTGAATGCGTAGTACAGGCTTGATCAACCTTATTGCAACATCCCTCACTATGTTGAGCAGGCGTTGACAAGCTTCATGTGGTATCATTTTTGAATACGATGAATGACATTGAAAGCTTTATTAGTATACATGTGATGCCCTGTGTCATTTTGTTTTTCTACTACTGGGGAATGATGAGGAAAATGAAGTTTTCCCACCCATTCGAAATAATATGATTCTATGTTTCACCTTATTTCGTGTTGTGAATTAAATCACATATCTTCAAAATCGCCCATTTAAGCTATAAAGGGCTTAATAATTGTATAGAATTAGATTATGGGTAACACAATACAGACCAATGTCCATAAAATACTGTTTAGTGTAGTATGAAGCATCACACAATGACCTATTTAAAAACGCAGTGTAATTCTTCCTTCAGCAGAAGAAATTCAAGTTTATACGTCGAATAACAGGTTAGTAGTATTTGGACAGTTTAGCTATTTTTAAACACGAACTATCTATGCTAAACCAAGAACACGTGGTTTAATTATGAAGTGTTAATTTTTAGACCCCAGTGGATGGAAGTTTCACTTTATCATGAACTGATAAAAGTAGGAAATTTGGACCAGTGGATTCCAACCAATGGTAACGTGGTGGCGGCGCGATCTGAAAGTTTTGGGTTCGATGACTGTCGGCTTCTTGTGTGCGCTCTGCTGAAAAGTTTTATACTAGGGCAAAATAGCTGTCCAGTTCTCCGAGGTTTCCAATATTTCTCCAAATGATATCAGTCCATGATGAATTCCAACCTGAAATAAAACAATAAATCTCCACAAACCTTTAGCTAAAATTAATTCAGTTGAATGGTTACTTTACAGAAAAGTACATTACTTTATGTTTCCAGTGAACACAATTAGAGCGAACTAAACACTTATTGTGAGATAAAAACAGCATAAAATTTTGATTGATAGGTTTTATTTACCCCATTTACATTTTTTATCCACGTCTAAGTGAAAAGATTTGATTTAATGATGTGTCTAAAAAAATACATTCTAATTTCATAAAGTCAATACTGCTTAAGTTAAGCACTAACGTTTTGGTAATGGAATATTTCAATGGCATAAAACTGAGCGATTTTATGGTCAGATATTACGTTCAAGCCAAAACTCAAAAAATGTTGCTTTTCAGACAACGAGCATTTTACTTATTAAGCGATATTAAAAAAATATGCGTTAGAAATCCTAAGCTATACTGATACTTAATACATACGTACTTCGTTCATATTCCCCTCAGATGTACCGCTCAGTTACATGGAACAGTTCACGATCTTTTTTATCTTAACATCACATTCGTAATTGCTGTCGTAAATCGTCATATAACATGTTTTTGAATTCTTAAGTCTCATGATTGGGGCAATTATCCTAACGACAAATAAGGTATGGGACATTTAAAATGAAAAATCCCTTAGAATTCAAATTTCAATATATATGTTGTTAAAGTTAATGGCCTGTTTCGTTGGATGTCATGACTTGGACCGTATATATTTTGTTTTCACATAAATCTCCTTGATAGCATGGAGAGGATTTAAAAATGCATAAATATATGTTGCGATTGTAAGTGAAAAAGGAGCTTATTTGCATTTTAAGACAAGTGATGACAATGAAACAGAACTCAACTAACTTTTTTGGAACACTTAAGGTGAATATTCTGCATGTGCAATTATGCATAAACAGGAAGTATTCAAGATGTATGAGAACATATAACAGACTGAGACATTGAAAAATTTCCACAACGTAGAGGCAAAACCCAGCGGAAAATGCGTAAGTGTAAGAATTTTGAAGAGATGTTTTACAAATTTCTGCGAATGGCCCATGCAAAATTCATGAATTCACGCAGTCCTTCATGTTTTACTTGGTTAGCTTGCTTTCAGTTTTTATCAAAAAAATTACTAATAACTCAGTTCACATACGTGTAGTAAGCTAATAAGCGTTACTATCTCTAAGAAACTACTTGTTGTCAACATCAGAAAATTACATGTAGTACTTACCATAGTATAAAAATATAGTCTTAATTGGCTGTAACAGTAAGGATAGACTTCCCAAAATAGCAAATTTGGTGCTATGAAATGTAAGAACGATAACGACTTATGATGGCACGTGGTGCAAAACTACTGCCAACATGAATAAAGAATTATATTAATGTGGATGGCCATCAAATCTTATCAGACGATAATATTATGACTTTTTTGAAAAGAGAAAATACTTGCTAAATCCGGATGAATATATGCATCGAGATGGTGAACTTCACGTGTGGACGCAAAATGAAAATCCAGTGTGTCAGACTTCATCTTTAGAAATCATGTAACTTATTTCAGGGACAATAGTTCAAAAACTCCGTTTCATTCAGTATTCTTCCTACGAATAAAGTGAAAAACTATGATCTTATTCCACTAATTCACGTGAGCGTAGAAGTAGTAACTCATTTCCACCTGAATATTAGAGTTTGCCAATTTCTGAAGCAGATGTAACCTAAGAAGTAATCCTGTGCTTTATCTCAGACTGATTTATTTTTTCAGTTTGTATTAAACTTCGCTTATTCTTATGAGCTACATAAAGAGATTCGCTG